CGCGTTTCAGCGCGACATCCACGCGCTGTCTGTGGGACTGAACTTGTTCGCGGATTTGCCGCGGCAAGTCTGTCATGGCGCCGGTGTACGGGTGCCACTCTCAGCATGACCGCTTATTGCGGTCGTCAATAGTCCACCAGCGGCGACATCTTAGTATCGCCTCGCCGTGGTGCTTTCCACTTGAGCGCGCTACTGGTGGGAGAACTTCCTGCGTGGATGAGAGGCCGCAAAAAGCATTACTCCTACAAGATAAGCATGTATGAGCCCTATTTCCTCGAAAGCCACATCACGAAAACGGAAACTTATGGGCGGAATTCTATAGGATAAAATCATGACAATGTCCTGACAGACACGGCAACGGCCATGCTTGCTGGGTTTCAGTGCTTCGTTCGCTGCAGCAAGAACAGCTGCAGCAGAAGCTTCGTTCCCACTCCCAAACTTAATATAATAATGAATGCACAGTACAACGTACGGAACTACCCCCCACCCCTTACCCATTCCCAAACTTACTACAACAATGAATGCACAGTATAACGTACGGAACTACCCCCCCCCCCCCTCCCCCCCTCCCCAACCTATCTATAATGAATTGTAACTAAAACGGTAGTGCCTAGGGGAGGGGGCGCCTCCTGCTACTACTACTACTACTACCACCACAACGACTAGTACTACTAGTACTACGTATCTGTTACGTTTATGACGGTGTGGTTTTCTCCACTTCACCTGCTGAAAACTGGGGTTTCGCGCGAATTTTGAGCAAAGTCCTCTTTGCAGATTTTCACTTGTTTCGTTAGTCCAAGGCTCGCCCCATTTGTCCAAGGATTTGAGGAGTTCTGATGCAATTTTATCATCGCCCCATTAGTCCAAGCTACGCCCCATTAGTCCAAGCTACGCCCCATTAGTCCAAGCTACGCCCCATTAGTCCAAGGGTTTGAGGATTTGTCGCATCAACCTCTAGCACGCGACCAATGTGGCACAGGGACTCCGGTTCCTTGAAAACCCCAAAAGGGACTCCTCACGCAAAACTGTGTCCACAACACTTCCCATTGTGCGGCGACCCAGACCAGTCACGCGAGCCAAACTATCAGCTGTGGGACGCTACATGATAGGCATGGAGCGGAGAGCCACCAAGTTTTCAAGCAAGTGTGCAGGCGTCAACGTTGTTCCCCCAAACGAGGAGAAGAACAACACATTGACGTAGCCACCACAACTTCGGCCAGCAGTGTACAACTGGGCCCTGTTGCTTCCTCGCTTCTGCACTTCACTGAGAACCAAAGTCTGCTTGGGGCAGTGACAGCACTTTCCGAGGCCATCTGCATAGCCGAGCCGCCGCAGCTCCTCCCACGCCAAGCGGGAACTCCCTAACAGCTCACGAGTTCGCAGAACGTCTGGGCGCTAGCGCTTCCTGTCCCGTTCTCTGTCGTCGGCTTTGCCACAGTACTGCAACTGAGCCTCGATTTTGCAGCGCTTGTCTTTCCTGCCATCCCTGCCAGGCTTCTTCTTGATGCCTGGTCGCGACCGCAGACCCTTCAGTTCACGTCTCAACTTCTGAATCTCCTTGCCGGCACGGGAAGTACAAGTGCTGACCCGATGGTCGCATGCTCCGCACGCTACGCACCGGTGCAGCTGCTTGCCCCTATTGCGCCCCTTCACGAGCGCGCGCTTCATGACCCCCTACCCTAGCAGCCAATGCTGCACTGCTTCGTTCCTGCAACGCGCTGGAGCTATTTCATGTTGTGACCGATAAAATGAAAGTTACATGATCATGCCCATTCCATCTTGCAACATGCTGGAAAATGACACATTGTGAGTGGTGAAAAACAAGTTCATGATCGTTCCCGAAAAACCCTCAAAATCCGCAAATGCAATTGCAAGTTAGGATTATCCAAAACTACTGCAAATTACAGCACTTCAAGCCTCCGCATGCTGAAAAACTATACCGTCACGAACGCGACCGGCGAGTCGTCGTCGTAGTAGTAGTAGTAGTAGTAGTAGTAGCAGTAGTAGTAGTAGTAGTAGCAGCAGTAGCAGCAGTAGTAGTCCTCCTCCTCCTCCTCCTGCTGCTGCTGCTGCTGCTACTGACGCTGCTACTGCTGCTGTTGCTGTTGCTGTTGTTGTTGTTGTTGTTGTTCTTGTTGCTGCTATTGCTACCATGAGCCTTGTTATTCTTACAACAACAACAACAACTACAACAACAACAACAACTACTACTACTGCTACTACTACTACTACTACTACTACGACGACTCCCACCACCACTACTACTACTACTACTACTACTACCACTACGACGACTCCCACCACTACTACTACTACTACTACTACTACTACGACTACTACTACTGCCACACCACGCTTACCACTACTTACTACTGCTTGCAATTTACCATGTACTGCTTAATAGTCACTACTTATTACCTGCCACTTGCTGCTGGCTACTTCCTGTATTACCTAGCTTACTATTCATCCTTCACTGTTTCTACTACGAACACCACCAGCACGCTAACACTAAATCTGTCAATAGCGCTAATGTTAGCAAACCAACACTTACCTAGGGCGGGGACACTCAAGGTATTAGTGCCATAGACACCCGATTTTTTCTTTGCCATGTAATTGTGCTGGTTTTAGAGGTGCTCTTTCCCAGGCCTTCGTTCCGAACTTCAATCATGGCTTTGGGGCATTTGCCTTCAAGGTTTGCGACAGCATTGGGCACATTCGCTGCCCTCTGGATCCTAGCATCACCACGTATGTAAATGTCTCTGTGGTTTGGATCGGATTTGTCGCAACAATGCTTTTTGCACACTGCCTTTGCGGACCTTATGCTTTTGCGGGGCTCTGCAACTGGGGCACGTGCGTTGTGAATTCCTTGGGGGGTCACTTGATTCCGTTCCTCTTCCTGGGCTACAATCCTGGAGCTTTTCAGAGCCTCTTCATGTTCGTCTTTGGCATCTTTGCCATATCCCGCTATGGCGCTCGCTTTGCGGGTGCTTGTATCTTGGCTGGCATTCTCCTGCACGTCATTACCTTTGCTATTGGTACGAACCTCATTTTCTCGGCCCACTTTCCTGATGAGACGATGGCTGTGCTCAGTGTGCTTTGCTCCTGCCCAATCCCACTTCTCATCGCGCGGGTCTTTGCGCCATCTGATTTTTACGAGAAGCTACAGGAAAGCGACGAGGACACAGAAGATGAACAACCATGAAACGTGGAGATCAGGCGAGATGCATGTGTCTCAAGCCTTGGGCTCTGACCGTGCTGCGGAAGCCGAGCTTCGAGACTGGTTGCAAGCAAAGAATCGCATGCAGAGTGCGCGTCAACACCTTCAAACTAATTAAACTTCATGTCAGTGCCTGCACTAAGTCTTCTGGGACCTACATTTGAGGTTGAGCCGACGGCCCCTGTGCCACGGCCCCTGTGCCATTTTCCTTCCTGCTTTTTTAGCGAATTCTCAGGTCCAGTGGTGCCCCAAACATTCAACGGGAGCTTTAACCCCTAGAAGCTTGGTAATGCATTTGCAGAACCTACTTTCAGGACGAGTGTGCTGGGCTGGCTTGAGGCAGTTGATGGTTCAGGATGGATAGTGGGTTTGCAAGTTCAAGCCGTAAGGTATCGTTCCATATGCCCTGCATGGTGTCAGGCTGGTCCTTGACGTCCCTAGACTCCAGCTCTCTTCAACATGGACCATGGCATTTTGTTCTTTGTCTTTTGACCACAAACGCAAGCTGCACACCTGTGGAGGAAGGCGGCACGGACTGGGAGAGTTGGTTTCAGGCGCCCGACTGCCATGCATGTCCTTTGCATGAGGGGCCTGAACAGCCCTGTCCCGGCCAAAGCCCTGAGATCAGGCCTCGGACCTATCAAGCACAGAGCCTACTGCCCGCAGAATTTGGGATCTTAGCCGCCAACCTGCGTAGTTCAGCCTGGCCGGGGTGGTTTAGCCGGTCTGGGCAGAATCGTCGAAAAGAGGGTGAGGTTTTGCTCTTATTTGATCCGCAAATTTTGCCCATAAACTTCAAGTGTGTTTACAGGTGAGTGCCGTAAACTAGGCTTCCCTAACTGGACGTGGTCTAAGACAGCTGTGATGACTCCTTGTAAACCCCGTGCAAGCTCTCGACTGATGTCAGGCCCTAGGTTTGCCACGTAGTCTGCGCAATTGCGTGGATTGGAGGTGTCATAAAGATGTTACGTGTGCCCAAAGACGCGAGGACACATTTCAGCAGCCGGATGTGAACAACACAAATGCGCTCTGGCATCTTGGCTATTCCAACTTGGGGGCTTATTGTACTTTTCAGGGCTCAGGTTTCTTGAAGTTTGCCGCGCTCCTACCAGCCATGAGGGCTTGTCTTCACTGCATGTGCTCTGGTGAGGATGTCCACCTGCCTTGTTGAGCCGGACCCTGGCATTGTGGGAGAGGCATCCTTATGGTTTGGGGTCGTGAGAGGCAATTCAAGTCTCTGGCTGTTTTATAGGGTGGCACGGCAGCCCAGCAATAGATTGAACATGCAGTGAAGCAGAAGCCTGCCAGATCCTCCGGACCACTTTCTCCACGATGCCGGAGCTTCGGTATCTGATGGTTTTCGTGCCCTCCAGTATCTCAGAGGACAGGAGAAAAGGATCCAGAGTTGCCAATTGAAGGCTTGCTGCAGACGGGGCTCAGTGAAAATCAGGCCACTGTTCAGAGGTTTGTGTGTCATGGGTGAGTACTGGACATCGGCAACAGGACGCAGCCCTCAAAGTCCTCCAGCCGTTCCAGTCGCACTTCGTTCAGCTGGATGCCTGTGCCTCAGTCCAGCTCCAGGACGTCGCCCTGCAGAGTGTGCTCCTTCAGAGACCTTCTGCTCAGATGGAGACGGAGGAGCTCATGGCGATGAACCATTGGGCTGCTCCCAGCCCGGCGCTTTCAGATTTTCAGGGGAGTGGCTGATGATTGATATTTCTTGGGTAACCCGCAAGCTCTGCAAATTGCTAATTGATCTGACAATGCCATCGCTAGGCCCCAAAGCCTTGAACCCGAAACCGGTCATCTCAGACTACCCGATTCTCAGGCCCTGAAGGCCATCCACCGATGGTTCTGTGCTGCAACCGCGGGCAGGCCGGACGGTTTGAGAAGGCATTTGCTGTCGATTTCGCATACTCTGCGAAAGAGTCTCAGGGAGTGGAATGCCACACCCAAGGAAACTAGCTTTCAAGAAAGTAGAGATACGGAAGACAAGCCTGCAAAGTTTTGAAGCTTCTTCTTGTCTTCAGGTATACTGGGGTCAGAGGTAGCTTTTTTGAGGACAAACGAGGACAAGCGCCGCAACGGCATGCGAGCCTGATGCCGGCTTCCTCATGAAAAGCGAGACCCTGTCAAAGCCTTGTTGCAAATCCTGGTCTTTCCACTCAATGTCTTCTCTACGTAGCAACGATGTCCTGTCAAACAGCAGAAAGAACTTGGAATACAAAACTTGAGTGGATTCACAGGTAGTGCATGGTCTTCGCAACCCTTCATCCAAAGAGTGAGCCTCAAGTTTCCACGGCTGCAGAGAATTACAAATAGCATCATGCAATTTTTGCATGAAAGAACCGACGAGGTGATGTAGTGGCTAGCCCTGTAGTGATCCATAGTGATCCCGAGTTCCAGGTTATAGCGCCACTTGGCATCCGCATAGCGCGGGTGGAGGACACATCAACTGAGACCTTTCTGTGTCACAAAGATGAAGAGCGATGTGCTTTCCTTGCCACTTGGGAAGTTTGGTTGTTACAAGCCATGAGCCAATTCAGCCTGCAAGGACCACGACAACCTCGCTGCCGTTTTCGATGCGCAGAGCGAGGCGAAGGGCTGAGACCGAAAGAGAAAAGTTTTGTTTTTTGGGGCAGGGGTCAGTGAGTTGACAAGCCACTCTGAAACTACCAAAAAGATTCCTTGAAAACTTGATTCCGTTTCGGAGATGCTGTCATGAGATTTCGAATCCCGCGCTTGAGGTCGTGACAGCCGTTTACGGCGACTTCTTCATCGCGGAGCTAGTAGAGGCGGAAGATTCAAGCTTTCTTATTCTTGTCCTTGGCAATCAGAAGCCGAGCTTCTTTTTGAACAGAAGCCTAAAAGCTCAGTTGCCTTCCAGAACCAAAAGATGAAGGGTTGAGTGACTTGGCCTATTTTGAGGTCTGAACTCCGGCTCCCTTTGCGCTTCTGTTCCTGCCAGCCAGACCGTTGAAATACCCTCTGTCTATGTTTCCGCGACGAAATCCCGCAGGCACAAAATGAAGAGAACCGAGCGCTGGTGGCTGAGGCGGGCGGTTCCAGATTAAGGACTTTTGAGTCTCGTTCTTTTCGGCAACTTGATCTTTCCAACTATCTTTGCTAGTCAGACTTCTGAATTTGAAGCAGCCTGTAAAGACTGAGACCCCAATTCCATTCCTGCTGTGAGCATCTCGTGGCAAGCACCTTGAGCTGGGATTCCTTGCGTCCACTGGTGCTCAAGCTTCTGACACTCGACACCGACAACAGAAATTTGATGTCACCCTCGGAGGTGGATGGACGGGCGGTCGGGCTAATGTGCCTCACATCTGACGTGGACATCAACGTCCGGTGCTTTGCTTGTGCTCTCTGTTTCCAGCTGCGACTTCCACAGCTCCTGCATTGTTGTTCCTTTGCATCCAGCAGTCCCGTGGGCGCGTTTGTCAGCTTTGAGCTCGAACTGATACTAGGTCTTGGCCCAGTGTTTCCAGCTGGATCCATACGACAACTTGCTCAAAGCGCCGTACATGAAGCCTGTTGGCTGGGAATCAAGGGGGTTGTTGGTCTGCGGCACAAGAATTTTGGCTTGGGTCAGAGTGTGATTCTCAGCGCCAGTGCGTTGTTTCTGAACGTCAAAATTCCCTTTTTTTGTATTCTGGTTTGAAGCTCGTCGCATAAGATTGTACAAGAAAGCCAGCTGGTGTTTACATCTATCTATTTGCAAGAGTCTGGGCTTCGCAGTGTTAGATCCACTGCGTTTTATAAGGGATTTGTGCTTGAAGCACTCAAGGTTCAAGTTGTCCCCTCCCCCAAGACCAAAAGAATCGCAGGTGCTAAGTCCTCCAAAGCTCTGCAGTCACTACGACCGCGCTATCCTAAATGTGCGGCTTACTGTGGCGCGAGGGAAGCCTTCAGTGCTGAAGATACGAAAGAAACCCCTGCCTCAGCTGATGTTGCCGCCGCGCAGGCGTGTGCGCGAACATGCAAAAGCTGTGTTGGAAGCGGGTGAGCAGGCGTGCTTCAACATCTTTGGAGCACCCAAGGCATTTCACTTCAATCCTCTGGATGAGGGTTAGGGGACTGAAGAGCTTCGTGGAAGTGAAAGGCTTTAGATCGGTTTATGCGCAGCGTGCAGCATGTAGGAATTGTAGCTGCTCGCCCTCACGCAATCCGGAACGCAAGCAGACTGTGAAGTGTGATTAGTTCTTGGCACGGTCTGGTTTGTGCAGAGATTATCTGGACGCGCCACAATTCCTTCTACATTAGTTTCGATGTGGGCTTTCAGTTGCAGAGTTGAGTCAGCAGTCTTTAGGAGCCTCCCTGGCGATTCTCTTTGTGTCTATGACATTTGTATCGAGCAAAGTTGCAAGCACAGATGCTGCTATCATCACTCCAGGCTGCATCCAACTTCCTGAGCAAGATACGTTTTACCAACGCCTTGATGCATTGCTACATTCGAGACCCCAATCGTGCCTCTTCCAGTTCTCCAACGCCTCGCTGTGTTAAAGGCGTCTCTGTGCTCCCGGGGCGACTTCCTGCAGGCCACAGGGCCACGTGCGTCTTGCGGTCACGAGTACGCCTGTCTTGAAGCTTGATTGGTGCAGCCTACTTGGCGACCAGCTCCAAGCATCAAGTGTCAATGGTATTTTGCCATGTGGGGCTTGAGCTCAAGGGTTTTCGACCTCTGCAAGCTACAGGATCTCAGCACTGCTGGATCTGGGGCATGCGTGCGGATACTCACTGTAACAACCGTTCGAACTTCGAAACCCTAAACAAGCCGTGAACACGCAAGCAGCAGCTTCCTGTGCCTAGTACCTACCTGCATGAAGCTTCGGCACCCCAAAAAACCAAGCCCCGCCATAGCTGTGAACAATGCAAGAGGTCGCCCTGCGCTCCATGGACATGGGGGCTCTCCTGGACTCCATCCCACAGCTAGAGGACGCAAGCAGAACCCCAGAGTGGGGATGACTCAGCTTGCGTGTTTTCTCAATTTGAGGTGCGTGGATGCATATTGGAAGAAGTGAGGACAACAGCTTTCCAAAACCTCTTCATTGCTTTAAGCTTAGCTGTTTCCAAACTTTGGGAACCAGAACTCTTGTCCCACCTTTGTCACTGTCTCTAAGCATCCCTTTCAGGATGGCCGCATCAACGCAGTGCAGCTGCATGGGGCGCTACAGTTTGGGGCCCGGAAGAGGTCTAAGCTTTCAAGGAAGTTTTTCTTCCTGCTTCTGGCCAACAGCCATCACCGGACATCTTCAAAGCAAGATTTAAGTAGTGCGAATTTCTTCTTTAAGTTGCTTTGAAGTGCGGAGTTGTGGACGACTAGTTTGCAAAGTTTTCAAGCTAGAATTGGAGGACTTGAATTGAATCTGAGACTTCGGGATGTAAAGGTTGACGCTAGATCTGAAGAACTGCAGATTCACTTCTGGCAGAGAATTCGACAAAGTCCCGCCAGTCAATTCTTGGAATTTGTGCTAGAGTATGCCAGGAAACCCCCAAAGCTCAGCCCCTTTACCCCGAACCCTGAGCACCTCTTCTCCTGGGAGGATGCAGGAGTTTGCCGATGAAGTGGGTGAGGTGCTGCAGGAGGGGAACTTGGAGTCAAGAGTGTGTCTCGCAGGAAGGCTTCAGGAAGCTAGAGCTGCACATGCCCCGAAGTGATGGTGAGATTTTGGCGGCACAACTAAATTCTAGGACTGCCGGCACCTCACTAGAGCGAGGCGCCCATGATGTCTACCGCCAGTTGGGATATTCCGTCAAGATGAGCTCATCTCGTGCGATCAACAACCCCCCCGCCCCCATGACCTTGAAAGTAAAGCTTCACCCTGTCATGCAGAGCTAGGAAAACTAAGAAGACTAGGATTCGAGGCGTGTTGATCCTGACCTCTAAGAGCAGGCAGAGGCAATCTCTGGCCTTCCAACAAGTTCAGGAGTTTGAGAAAAGCATCATGATGCTCTTCTGGCAAGTGAACTTCCTGGAGCCGATGTTGCAGGACTCAACGGGTTTGTTAAGCGTCCTTCATGTGCAAGATCCCAAGTCGCAGAATCCATAGACATTGCCTTGTAAGCCTGTAGCAACATCTTGCAGGAGAACTCCCTGGTTCTGCCTCAGAAGGTGCCTGGAACTGCTTATGTTCTAACAGGCTTCGAGTCATTGATTCGAGGTGATACCGATCGAAAAAGTCTGTGGCTGGTATTTGTTTTATTCATGTCCCTGGACAGGCCTTGCTGAAAGGACATGTTTGTTGGGTGATTCCAGGGTTTAGGCCGGCGCTTAAGGCTTGAAGCCGCACATGCATGGGCTCTGGAAAAAGAAGGCGCAACTTGTTGGATGACTAAACCGTTGGCTCCAGTGCTGGGCCTAAGAAGTAAGTCATCTGTGTTAACATGATCCAGACGCAGAGCCAGGTGAACGAATGTGTCCAGCTCTTCCAGAGCCTCGACATCACCGAGCGAAAGAAAATCGTTAGCCAGGCAAGGTGATAGTTCGCTACAGCCGCTCATGAAGGTCTTGCATGTTGGGGTTGAGCATCTGTGGCGCGGCGAGGGAGTTCAGGAGCCGAGGGGGATTACCAGACATAACCATTTGTTGGATTTGCTTTGCGGAACGCAGCTTGATTGTGAAACGTCGCTTCAGCACGCTCAGATTCCCACTTAATGGCTTTCATTGTCTATTCGGAACGCAGGGAAGTCCTTTCTATGTTCCAGAGCCATTGCATGGTCCTTCACACCCGTAGAAGCTCCAACAGACCCCCAAAGGACCACTAAGCACACACTGCCTAGACGGGCTGAGATCCTGATGTTTGACAGAGTCAAAGAATTTTATTCCCTTTGATATTAAGCGCAGAAAGCCAGTTGTTTTTCGTCTTCGGGAATGAAGGTGCTGGAGAAGTGGACGGAGGTGCAGGACATCCTGAAGCTGACCAAGGAGTTCACAAGAGAGAGAGAGAGATTTGTGTTGTGGTCCTTGACCTAGGAATTTCCGTGTGCATGACTTTGGGAAATCATCAGTCTAGCCTCCCTTTACCGCCGGCTCCTGCTTGCAACCCTGAGGAGCGGAGCAAGGTAAGGAGCCCTAGCAATTCAGGGCTTGATTAGTTCTGGTCGGGGGCAATCAAGTGCCTTGGACTGGATCAGAAGTGCAAGGCCAGCCTAAGCCTAGGTTTTGTCACTCAAGACGGTTGATTTTGTGCTCAAGGTTTCCAGATTCAGGTGCTGTTCATGTACAACACGCGGGAGGCCTGAGGTTCCAAGCGTTGACCTAAGCCTGAATGCGCATCGAGCCGCTGCAACTTGCGGGAGCACACGGATGTAGGCCCTGAACCTACACTTGGGCCATGCGCGGTGCAAACCAGCCAGCCAGAGACCAACACAAGGCAGCATCGACACACCCACAATCCCGAACAGTAAGCAAATCCCAGCCCTTCTTGCTGTCTTAACAGGAAGCTATCTCCCAGCCTGAAGATGCAGAAGCTCTGGAGGATTTCGGCTTTCTTGGGCTGTATTTATTCCCAGGGTGTCTCTGCCGACGAGTTTTCTAGCCGCATAGCAAGTGCATTGCCATACCGAATGGGGACTTAAGCAGGGTGCTAACGCGTGTGTGCATTAATCGCTTCAGAACTGTGAGAGATGGTTTTCAAGCGCACATGTGGTCGGGATCGGTTGCGGTTGACTGAGGCCTGGGCTCAGACTCTGCACAAAGCCGTACCTAATGACCTAATGCAGCAGCCGGTCCTATATCAAGTGACCAGGCCAGGGCGGTCAACAATAGCTTTGAGTCTCGTTGCACTTGGGGGACTCCTGCTTTGGAAAAGGGAGATCTCAGGCATCTCCTGGTTTTTTCCTGTCATGTCAGACTGCCTAGCCGAGTAATGTTTAGTGGACTTGGGCTGTGACATGTGCCATGTGGGAGCCGAACGCTGACGTGAGGACCTGGATCAAGCATGAAATGACTTGCCATGATGAGTCCAGGGAACCCTCGCGTCTTGCGAGCCCATATCCCAACCCCAGACGTTTCATGTGAATGCTAGATTGACGATCCTTATGCTTGTTCGACGTTCGAAGTGTTAACGCGAAGCCAGTTGCAAGCCAAAGCAAGCTCAAGAGCTGCTAGAGCCTTCGAGCACTTTCATGATGCAATGGGCATGCAGTAAAACCCTGATTCTAGCCACTGCTGTGCCGGCCTAGCTGCTTAAGTCCCTTGTGCCCCCATTCAAGCAGCAGACGCTGTCCCAACTGCATCTCAAAAAGGAAAAAGTGCGAACTTGGTGGAGCCATGCCACAAATGCCCTTGACGAGCCATGCTTCGAGCTGCGGCGTGCGCTCTGCATGTTGCCCTCTTTGCGGCAGGCTGTATCCCTGCATGTTGGGGAATGGGTTGTCCATGCAAGACCTTGGTCTCCCGAAGAAAAGAAGCTTCAGCTTTCATGTCACCGGCACAGCTTGTGCATCAATTTGCAGAGGCATTTGTTGCAGGTTGTAGAGTGCGACTGTGAAAGATGTATGGCTCAAAGGTCTTGCGACCGGTGGCTCTGTTCCGAGCTGGGCTGTCGGGGTGGGCTGGATTTTCGTGGTGTCCTGGCTTCATTTTTCAGACAGCCTCGAGCGGGTTGGCCGGCTCTTGTGCTTTTTCATGAGCAGTTGGAACTTCGGGAATGCAGCCTCAACCTCAGAAGCTATCACTCAACCTTTCAACCTGGTCTGGTTTGAATTGTTGTCTTGCCTCGGCCAGATGCTCTTCAGCTTGACGTTTAGTCGTTAACTCTTTTCCGAGGACCCTCGACTTCAAGTTCTGCAACCAAGCATATAAAACTAGCCAGCAACGCAATTATATGCATGCGGGTGAGTTTCTATGGTGTCTGCGTTAAACGCAATCAGACCCAGATACTCAGCCTTGTTTGGCGACTTTCCGAGTTCTACAAGGAGGGGAGGGCCTGCATGTTTTTCCCGGCTCATGGCTTGCTCTTTTGAAAGGGGTTCGGTCCAGGGTTTTTTGTTTGAGAGCGCCGGGGCACATTCGGGCGGTAAGGGAGAATTGATGGCAGCGGACGCAGAAAACCCTAGTGTCATCGCCGATGTTGATTGCATAGAGGTTTGCATTCTTTTGCTGGTAGGGGTCATCTCCGCAGTCTTCTTCTTTTCTGTGGACATGTGCGTTTTGCGTAAATTACGTATCCATCGTCGAAATGGCTGATAAGAAGCTTCAGTTCTTCAGAAGAGCCAGGAGGAGCTGAAGTTCCTGGTTGGAGCTTGCCGAGAGACGTTGCTGTGTCGCTCGGCTCTATTCCGGCTTTGGGGTTCACGTCTTGGAAAGGGTCCAGGTCGAGAGTTCTTGCGAAAAGGTTCCTGCAACATTCAGAGCTCTGTAAATGGCAAGTCTGCGAAGCACATATCCAGCATTGCAGGACTCGACGCTGTGCTGATTTCAGTCGCTAAACCTGCGCCTGAGGCTTCCCCAACCTCTCCTTCTCTTCGTCACCCGCCTTCTGCTTCTCATTGTCCTCTTGCTCCTTCAAAGCCGCAATCACAATCTAAGCTCCGACAGTTCCAAAGTGAAAGCTGCTGGCTCCGAAGCTAGAACATGTCCCGTCACCACGAATTACAACTAGAACCCTCTATGACAAAAAATATCCTCTACGCAACCTGAGGCATTCTAGTATCTCGACTGCAAGATAGTCTGGGTCTTCGGGCTGGGTTGGCAGAGTGAAGATGAACATTGGATTTATGAGGCAATTGCTGCTGGGAGGTGTTGCAGACAGTTGTCACCTCCACTGCTTTAACTACGTCAACCCAAGGCCTACTATGTGGACAGCGTGGCTGTATACATGGTTGCAGTGATGCACGACAGGCGCGCCCGCCTTTTCGTGAATTGCTTTTCTCAGCAATTTGCACAGCATGCGGAGTTCTGGGTGTGAGTTCTGAGTGTATTTGCACCGTCCACGTTTTGGAAGATCCTGCTGAAACGCAAACAGTTCGCTAGGAGATGTGTCCAGGGATGTGCATGCAATGCAGGCTTCTGCTTCTCGGTGCAACTTTGTCAGTGCAACTCGAAGGTTTTGTCTTTGAGTTTTGTTTTTCATTTTCCGCCTCGCAAGGCGGTTTGACAACATCCACCTGCAAGACAATTTCCTCCTTGCAATTGAATATGTCTGCGGTCGTTCGAAGGCTATCTTGGCTGCAGAGTTCTTGGAAGTAGGTTTTGGCCGGTTCAAAGGTCAGGGTAGGGTGTTGAATCAAGGTTGTTGATGCGGTGATGAAATCCTGGTCAAGATTGTGCACTGCTCGAGAGTTCTGTGCAGTGGTTGGACATGTTGGCTGTGAAAGACGTGCCTCAGTAACTAACTGCCTTTGACCCGCAGGGCTTTGCAGTAATTACGGCGTTTTATACACAAGAGCACAGGTGGATTGATGCTATACGGCCTCAAGACAGCCATAGTGTAGAACATGTAAATGCGCACTATTCTGGGAGGATGTGCTACCTCCTGTCTGAGTTGAAGGGTTTAGGCGAGGTAGCTGCCAAGCTCATTGCACGGCTGCCGGAGCTCAATGCAGACGAGGTTGCCGCACCCTCAGGCTGCATACGCCAACACCTGAGTTCATTGCCGTCACAGTTTGTACCAAGCAGCCCGCTCAAAGTGAACTCAATGTGGCTCTGGCCATCCCCAAAATGCTCCTTTTCCACATCCATTTGGGGTTGAGATTCACTTGCAACAAGGTCTTTGCAGGCCAAGGTTCCAGGTGCTGTTTCATATACTTGAATCCTTCACGTATGGTGGGACCAGTACTTCAGGCTTCTCTTCACGGAGAGTCCCAAAACCTGAGCTTGCGACCTGACGCCCTGGCTTTCCCGCAAGCTTGTCCAAGACGATCCTGCTGGCAGCTGGCGCATTCCTCCTCGCGCCCGCCAGTGGCATTCCGGCACCTTGGCCAGGGATGCTGTTAGGGTGTGTCAGATGAATACCCTTGAGCCCAGCATACCATGGCCTCTGCCAATTTCTTATGAGAGGTGCTTGCAGTGGCTCAGAAGCTTGGCCGCGCCATGCGTCGCTTGGCATGACCATGGCTTGAAGTTGTGTGATTTCGCTCCAAAGATGCGTCTGATGTACAGTCATGCACAGTTGGAACAGGGCCTCAAGATGAGATTGTCGATCGAGGGTTCAAGGCCAAGCCTTTCAAGTGTTGTGCTCATATCAGCTGCAGCAGTCTTATCCAAGGTTACAGTCGCCTGCTGCGTGTAATATGCTACTGCTCGACGGAACCTTGGACCTAGTTATCAAAAAGTCTACATCTGGCAGGGAAGTTATTCAACTAGTGTAGCTGCTTAAGCACCAGCTAGTAGCCATGCCACGAAACAAACACTCAAGTTTGGGGTTCTCAAGTTTTGCCGGAAGCTGAAACTGGAGAAGTTGGCTGATGGGAACCGAGAAGGTAAATTGCTGAGGGTGAAGGATGCACAAAGCATGTCGCTGCTAAGGGTTTCCTGCTTGGCATGACATTCTGACTACTATCTTGCCTTCATGTTATGGTTTCAGTGCGCAATTTTGATGGTTTCATGATCCGCCATGGAGAGGTCCTGCCATCTCCCTCGCCTAGCTGCTTTGCTCGAAGCTCAGCATCCTGAAACTGAAGTACCAGCCGAGCCCGAATCTTTTCCTCCTACCTCACTTCCCCTGACGCTCATGTCGATGACGTTTGAGAGTGCTCAAACCGCAGCTACCTGCGCTTAGCTCCTTGAAGTGAAGTGATTGCCAGGAGCCCCCGAAACAACTTGGAATGACAAAAGTAAAGGATGGGCGGTCCAGCCAAGAGGATGGACAGGGCAAAGAGTCCAGGTTGGCATGTTGCTTGCCTGCCCCGGCTGGCAAGCAACGTTTCACAAGCGAGGAGCTTGCCTTCAAAAAGATTCACGCCAGAATGAAATGGCAGCTATCCTGATGTTCTATCATGAAGCATGACGGCTGACGAAAACAAGGTCAACCGATATGATGAGTCCTACTCAGTGTCTGAGCATTGGCGGGAAGCTGTGCGCCACCTGCGATCAGGTGGTCAGTCTTTAGTTTCTGTGAGTTCTGCATAGATGTTGCAACTTCAGTTTTGCGCCCACGGACCCGCAGCATGTTTTTTTTTTCTTTTTTCTGGTGATCTTGGGAGCCAGTACGGCTTGGGTGGTAGAGTGCACGCTGTTCTTCGTTGCGGTTGATGGTCGGACCGGCCACGTGATTCCAAGATTTCACGCCAGAGCCGCATGCCACAGGCCACGTTTTGTATGCGTAATCTTGCGCCTTCAGATGTGCACTTTCGATGCAAGAGACCACACAGCTCATCACACAGAGTCGGATTAGCCTAAGGCCCAAGGACTCGCAATTTCTGAACTCTGTGAGAGGTGGTGGCTGCAATGACCTTGCCTCCCGGCTGCAATTGAATCTTTCCTTGACCAGGAAGCACTTTCCAAAGTGTAAGACAAACCCTCAAATGCATGAACGCCCTTGGCGGCTTCATGGAACAGATGCTGCTAGCACATAGAACATGAAATGCGGAGGTTGACCCAGAACGGCCTTGTGTGGTCCTGCCATAAGTCCTGAGGGGTGTCAGTAGCATTCAGTTAGCCCTAGGAGTTCGGTAATGCAGCTGCGAGCACAGTAGTTGTATTGCCAACAGCCCTGGATGATCTTCACATTCTTCACAGTTGGTGCAGCGCCCAGATCTTCTCGGGGCACGGTACTGTGCTGGCCTTCTGTGCGCTGATGCACACGGAGCCTCAGTGGAAATATGCAAGGAAGTCCCTCTGAACCCCCTGTTGCAGTGATGAGCTTGTTTGTGGAGAGTAGAAGGTTTAGTGATTCGTATAATAGCCGACCCACGATGCCTTGTTCTGGACACTCGTTGGGCGATCTTTGAAGGCGGCTTCTGGCAGTCTCTGAGTCGGCTTGTTTTCGTGGTCTGAAGTGTCGGCAGTTGTAGTTTCAACTTTTGGCCAAGGAGCTTGGTGCCCCGCTGTGGCTTCGGCTCTTCCTTTGGGGTCACTCGCCTCAGAACTCATGGGGTGACTCCCTGCCAGCGCTCCCGCTCAGCTTCGTATGCTTTGTTAAGTACGACAAAAGTTGAAGATGGACGAGCCTGCCACAAAGAAACGGAAGTATCTCTCCCACAACGTCGCTTGGTGACTGCTAGGACAAGTGACAGTTGTTCTAAAGGTAGGTAACCTATGAGAAGAACCCTTAGCTGCTTAGCTCCCCTGCATTTGTTGAACTTGCAAACCTACGGCTGGATCACCATTTGTTTTGCTCTGGGTCCCAGGCAGAGTGGGCCACGCCTCTATCCGCATCGTTCGCAACTCAGGAGTGGATTAACCAAAGTATTTATTGCGACCAGTCAAGAAAACTTGTATTGTCTTGGACATTGCAGATACTTGTACTTGGTGGTGACAGAACCATCAGAGAGAGCGAAGGTGAACTGGTCTGACCCAGAGCTGCTCGTGTCTAATGTATATGCAATCATGCGATCAGGATGGGCCACTGCCTGCAGTTGCTAGCTGTTCTTGGACAACAGCCAGCGCCTTTTTGCCCGTGCCAGGTGCAAAGCCAGAGCCACTTCTCGGTGGATTTGGTGGTGGCAATCATTCTTGCCACCCTGCTCTGGCAACTGGCCTTGAGCTGGGCAGTTTCCAACCTTGAGGGGTTGCGTTAGTACGCAAGCTCTTTTCAAAAGCTTTCGTTTACTGCCGAGCTTTGGCTGATGAGTCCAGGGGGGTGGGTCAATTTTCGAGCCCGCCATTAGCCCCACTGACCGCAGCGTATCCGGTACGGTTTGGGGGTCGTCTTGAAGCCCGAAATCGGGGTGATGCCTGAAGTGACAGGTCGTTCTAAGGGCCAAAGCCCGGGCGATATCCGAAGTTACGCGTTGTTTGGGGAGTATGTTAGATTACCCTGCATTGGCACGCGCCCGTCAGGCCCTCCTCCCTCCTCTGCTATGTACTGCCTCTGGAATCCTCCACCGTCCTGTTAATGAGCTTTCGTCCCCCCTAAACGCAAGCCAGAATTTCAAAGGTTTCTCATATTTTGTGGGGACCAGAAAACATTTACATGGCAGTATTGCATTTGATGGCCAAGTGTGTCCTGTGCCTGATGCGAGAACCTTGTCCATATGGGCATCTCTGCAGCGTTAGAGCAAGCCAGAGCTGTGTTCGGGTTTTTCCCAGTCATCGTTGCTCCTGCTAAAGCCTAGGGACTAAGTCTTGAGTCAGAGTTCAATTTCAGCTTCATTCAGCCCCTTAGGTATGTCTTGGAGCTTCCAAAGAATGACCAGGAGGCTGACCTGAACAACTTCCGCAAAGTCTGGAGTATGCATGCATGTCGGATGCTGTTTGCAATATTCAGGACTGGCATGTAGTCGGTGATGTACAAGACTCAGTGAGCTTAGTATCGCAAGACCTCACCATACATTCTGACGCCGTTCCCAGTTTGTGGAGGCAGTGTCAACGCTAAAGCCCAAAGAGTTGACCTCAAGTAGAAGCCCCAACATGGTGCTAAACATACATTCACTGATCCAAAAGGCAGTGCAAAGCCAGAGGGTCCATTCGTGATCAGGCCCAGTCGGTCCTTTGTAAGGGCCCAGGTGCCACCCAGGCCGACAGCAAACCCTCACAACGACCAGCATGTCGGCAGAGGCATTCGCCCTGCCAAAGATGCGTGCGCGAGGTGCCCTCATAAGTTGATACCTCAGATGTTGGCGCTTGGAATGCTGGGTTTGTCATGTTGATTGTAGGCTTTGGGTCCTGCGTCGGCCTTTCAGGGGTTTGCGCGTGCTTTGTTTCCGCACTCTGCTTCAGATTGTGCAGTCCATAAAGTCAACAGGTGTCAGGCATCTGGAAACAGTGGCTTTTGAAGCACTAGGCAGTAGATGTCATCAGTGTCACATGTTTTGGAAGACTGGCTGTCATCCGCATTCCCAGATGCCATTTTTCCCGAATGAGCTGGTAGACTGCGCTGTTTGGCAAGTCCTGAACCCCAAGCAGGCAGGACAACCAGTCCCTGAATTGAGTGGTATATGTAGCATGTCTGCAAAGAGTCAAGTTTAAAGTTTCCTGGTCGAGGCAAGCTGATCTTGAATCGGAATTCTGGACCAAAAGTGTTGGTGTCTGAGATTGACCAAGCGCCCCAAGCCAACTCTTCATGTCTCCGATTTTTTGTGTACCTCCGAAAGCTCCTACTGTCTGCAAAAAAAGTTTCAGATACATGCTTCATACCCTTATAAGGAGACCATCACCATCCCTGAATCCAAAGCCTTGCAAATGCCAATTTTTCTGAGTGTGGAGCTCGGCTCTCGTGGCATCGCTGGGTGCATCTCGGACTGCTACCAGGGGCCTTTGAAGACAACTCATAGAATGAGGAAGCTAAGATGTGCCTAAGAAGGTCAGACGTGTTTGGTTGCTGGTCTACAGTTTCAGAGAGTTGTGTTTGGTACATTGTTGGGCTCGGACTTTGGCAAGACTGCTTGTCCTTTGCCCTTGATGCTTGAGGGGACCTGGCATATGGTAACAATACGTCAAATATGATGGACAGCAGGAGATGCTGTTGGTTCCTGCAAGTCGAGACATCTCGCGACGCTGTGGTCTAAACTCCAGGTCCTCGCAGCGCTGCTCACATCCTCAGCAGCAGGCCCTTTGAGTGAGGCACAGGATGGGCGGGTAAGCGGGCCTTCAGGGCTTAGCTGCATTTAGACATTGTTTAAGTTTAGAGGGATTGGGAGACGATTCTTGCACAAGGTTCATCGAGCACCATCGCTAGGACTGCCAGGAGTAGTATAGGAGTAGTAGTGCATTAGCATAAGACGCCACCCAACATGAGTAGTGTCTGGCGTTCATACCCGAGACTAGGACTTCAAGGGCATTGAAGGGAACTGGCTGCCTCTTTTAAGGTTTGAGGAAAGGTTTGGAGTAGCCTTCTATCTGTACCGCAAAGCTGGAAGCTTGTGGTTGTTGTTTGAATTGTGCCTCTCCTCAACTTACAAAGCTAGGAGAAGCCTGAGCAAAGCAATTTCTCGTCTCGAAGCTTGGAACATGTGAATCCTCCAATGTGTGAACATCGAAAACAGCCCGAACGAGCGAAATCCTGGGAGGCCAACTGGAGCCGCCTTGCGGAGGCAGTTCTGCAGCTCAAATGACGGGTTCAGCAGCTACGGGTGCGCAGGTAAAGCATGGTTTTGAAAGGTCTCGAAATTGCTGCTTTTGCGTTCTCGGGTTCAAACCGGAAAGCTTTCCCCAATCAGATTTAGTCACGCATCCGTCAGGAAGAGTGTCTGTGACAGCAGCCCTGAAAGCAACATGTGCTTCAGTGAGGAACACATCACATGGGGCAGTTGAGCACGCCAATAGAACATCCCACCTTGAAGGCATTGGTGCCACATGCAGCAAGAAACAAAATTCAAGCTGATTGGTTATCAATCAGTCTCACATGCCACATATCGACAGCCTCCGCTTCAGCGAGAGCTAGGACAACAAAAGCAGCCCTCTCCACCTGCTGCATGTTACGAGCTTTGACTCTTTTACCCCTTCATCTGGCTGCGCCCCATGGCACGACGAGCTTTGGCTGAGTCCGGGCTGTTGGAGCCTTTGGGTCCGGAGGCACTGGCGCAGTCGCTTGGTGGAGGTTTCATGTCGAGGATTTCAAGACTCGACTGTCAAGTTGGACAATGTGATGCACTAACTCTGAATTGTTGGGTGCACAGCTGTTCTCAGTTTGCAAGGCAGGTTCCATCGCAGGATGGGGATTGGATCAAGCCGTTCTACACCTAAAGCTTTCAGAGGTTCCTGTATTTGAGCAGCTGGCTGAGGGCTCGCCGGTTTCGAGTAACTAGAAGATGCCTTGAAAAGCACATCTGCCCCTAGATGGCAACAAGGACCGAAGGTCGAGGCTGGGGGCAGTTATTGCATAGCCTGCACCCCAGCTCCACAGTGTAAGCAGACCCAGCTGGCAGAGGTATTCCTATTTTGGCGAGATCCTTGGCAGCAATAAGTGTGCTGTAAGTGCGCTCCTCCAACCCACCCCAGCCAGTCCTCAACCTAGCCTGCCAACCCCCTCGATTTTCATCTGGTGATTAACTTGAGACCCTGAACCCAAACATCCCAAACCATCAGATAAAGATGCCCTGGGAGACTCAGGATTGTTTCTTTCGAGCCAGATCCCCCAGCTCAAGTTGGCTGCTGGGAGGCAGCGTCTCTCTTCAGGCCGGTGTTAGACGAAATAAGCACTTGGATTAGGAACAGCTTTTGAAATTCCTGAGTGGTAGAACAAGATGAAAGATCTTCTTTTGACAGAACAGAGGAGGCGTTGACTCTCCAGGCTCTGCTGTTGTGAATTTCCAGACTAGTCGAGCAAATTAAGGTAGCGTGAACACACTGATTTGTACACAGGGGTTGCGAGAGTCCACGTAGTGTTTGGTCCAGCGGAGGCAGCGGCTTGGGGCTGTAAAGCCCTGTCCCATTTAGTACCTGCAAAGCATACGCCAAACCTCTACCTTCCCAATCATTGTGCCCGAAGTAGACGTGGTGCAGGTCCTCAAACCCCATCTCTCTCGCCAGCGTGATATGGCGGCCTTACTACTATGCAATGTGCGGCTTGCTTGGATTAGACATGCAGGAAGCAGTTCTGGTCCCGGCATGGTAGGTTATATGGCGAGTGCTCAGCGTTCCAGGAAATGCAAGCGTTGTGTTTCAACACGTTCTCACGTCTTTGTATCAATCAGCATGTCTGGAAGCAGGCCCCTCTTGCTCAGCCTCGGGCTCTCAAAAGTTTTGATTTCTCAGATTGCAAGGCGAGGTTTCTCTTCCGGCGCACGGAGAGTGGCAGGCGTGACCTACTTTAAGACCGGACTTCCTTAGTGCTCAAAGCTGTGGGTCTAGGTCCTAGTCTAGGTGTCATTTCTTCCGTTCCCATGGTTGAGGTTGCACAAGCTAAATTGGTGGCAAGGGGACCTTTGAAGCTTGAGGTTTTTTCCCAGCGATGCACATCTCCAGCCGTTTTTCAACATATCAGATTATCATGGCCTCCCCCATCCCAATCTACGAATGCAGACCCTGTCCAGACCCCGGCAGAAAGCTTGTCTGAACCTTCAGAAGCGGTCCTTCGAACCTTCCAGGTGCTGCCTCCCTCGCCCGGCGAGGCCTACCGTGCTTGGGGTTCAAGGCTTTGGGGCATTTCTGTGCTGCGGAAGTCTACGGAGACGGCCTTATAAGTTTGCCTGGCTTGTGCTAGACGACCCATGCCTGTCGTGCATACATGCGTCCTGCAAGCTGAGCACCCTCAGCCTCGAAACAATCTGTAAGCAGTGGAGTGCTATCTTTAGTTTGGCTGCGTCTCAGTCGTGCGAGGTGCCGTCCAGCTTTGAGGCCAAACCATGGTCTGGGGAGCGAGTGTGCCGCGCGGTTGCAGGTCTCGCGGTTATGGTGCAGTTTGCTGGCCTTTCGCGTGCTAGGTTCCATGGCTTCCCCATCCTAATTTTTGGATGTCAGACCTGTATGGTATCCACGATCTCCACACTAAGCATGATCTATCATCACCAGATAGCGACGCTTTCCGTTGTTCTAAAACCAAGATCCTGAATCAGAACCGCATTCTCAAGTCCCTGCCGTAATTACATTTCATGTCCAAAGCCTGTCAAAACTCCGTTGCGCTGGGATGGTCAAACTTGGAGCCAAGGCACTCAGTGTGCGTCACTTTCCGGCGCTTTTACTCCCACGCGTGCTTATGCTCCTGGGATGTCATGGGTTTGATCCCGGGAATGCCCTCTTCACGCAAGTATGTTGCCTAGCAGCCTAGCCTAGCCTTACCTGAGTCATATCCAGCGATGTAGCTTGCTATGCTTGGGTGTCCATGCTATGAGGCACCTCACCGGGCAACGTGAAACGTACCAGTCAAAATTGCAATTGAGCAAAATTTCTTTCGTCTACTTGCCCAAGCATGAATCTAAAGCTCACTGGCAGGCAGCTCCGAGCACAGTGCATGTGCACTAGGGGTGTCACTGCAACAATGTCACAAATTGAGGAATTCATGGAGGCACCTTTTTCAGACGCTAAGAGGAAGAGCAAAGAGACAAATTGTAAACACTGCCCGGACGCCAGCATGATAGAAGCAATGCTACGGAATTACCTCAAGTTCTTGCTCAGAATACCTCAGAAGCCTCATTTGCAAGGTTTTCAACCAGCCAATAGAGCTTCATTTGGAGCAGCGACAGGCAAGCTTGGGGCGAAAGGGCAGGTTTGTGGATTTACCTATTGTGCTGCAGACAGTTCTAAAAGAATCCAAGGATGTTGCCCACAGGAATTCTTGGCTCGGGGCAGGGTTTCAACTTCACCTGAGGCTCTTCTGGACATCAGGGTCTGCAGTCTTTGAGCAGCCGGGGTCAATGATTCGCAAAGAAAGTAAGCCCAGACCCTCTTCTCGCGCAGAACCTACAGCGAAATTGCCAAGGAATAAAGCCTCAGCAGCTCTCTATACGCCTCAGTACCCCTTAATGATGAATCAATTCTCAGCGGCGTTTTTTTTTTTTTTTTTCTTTTTTTTNNTTTCTCGGGGTCTAGCTTCTGTGTCCAGTGTTGCTTGCTTCATTCTGGCCGTATGGCCTACAACTGCTGCTCTGAGGGTTCTCTGAAGGTTCAGCTCCAGAAACGAAGGGCCTGACAAACACTTTTGGTCTGATGTCAGAGAAGGGTTGGGAGGAATTTCAGAATGCACAACATTCCAAGTAATATAGCAAAAATGTTGGCTACCCCTCAAGAACTTCTCTGTAGAGGTTTAGCAGGAGTTGCTTGCTCTTGCAATTTCTGCAGAAATTCAGAGCTGCCTTGGAAGTTCATTTCATATTTTTGGGCTTTTTGGACTCTAGCCGATTTTGGCAGGCTTTTTGCTTCGTCTTCCATAATATGGTTGGCAGCAGCAGGTCTGGCCATCCCCATACCGGAAGCGATCTCTGTCAAAAGCACCGCGTCATCACAAACATCTGCCCAAACATTGCAGGATACATTATGTGCCGAGAGCTTCAGACATTTCATCCACAGACAACAGCAGCAGCCGACGAAAAGACATGCGCGTCAAGAGACCTTGCTTCTCAACAAGTATCCTCAGAATTTGAACCCGCAGAAGTGGTGCATGTTTTTCAAGTTTCGGGAGTATGAAATACGGGAGCATTTTGTACTTCAAATTCTTGGAGCGCTCCAAGTCATCTGGGACTTCTGCAGAGGTGGAGATGCCACCGCCTGCAGATCCTGTTCCTCCAAGATTCTCTGCTGATAGAGAAACATGAAAGTTGACTGAGGATTCAGGGGTCCTGAGGTGATGTGGTTGGAGCAGTGAAATTTCCCGTAAGCACCAGTGCAAGCTAAGAGGTGAGCCCGTGAGGTATGGACATCCTTGAGGGCCTAAGTAGCTTTGTCTCCATACGCTGCGGCAGAGCTTGCTCGCACATTCTGAAGGTTCCTCTTCTAAACCAAGCCAACGAAGATGAGTGTGTGTGTGTGTGTGTGGCGCTATCGCCGATTTGCCAATGCTGCTTCCATTCTGCGTAGGAATCCGAGTTTGCAAAGTAGTGCGGTTGCCTGCGGTGGAAGGACACCATGGACTCCACCTCTGAACTGAGGATTGGTGATGCAGGTCTTGCGCGTCGACGCATGGGGGCGGCATTTCCTTGAAGGTGCACGCCTGAATTCGTAGACCAAATCCAGCGCCAATCCGCCAGATTGCAACCGGGGGGGTAAGCCCGGTCCATTGGAACTCCCTTCAGCCCTAAGCCACACACAGCTTGGAGTGCGTGATCCACATTCCTGCAACCCTCAACTACCAGATTGCGAAAACCTTCAGTGCCCAGGATATACCTTTGTGGACTTGCCTCGCCAGCCAGGAGTTGCAAGGGTGAAAAAGTTGGCTGTGTGGTCTTTAGCGCGCACTGTCTTCATCCTTCTGTGTCTTAGTACTCCTGATTTATGAGGAGCAGTGGAGCTGCGTGGGAGGCTTTGGGCACCGACGCTGGGTCTTTGTTGGATAATATCTTGTGCAGCTTGGCATTTCACTTCAAGTCGGAGCGCATGTCACTCTGTCTGAGCAGAGGCATCCACAAGGAGACGAACTATGACTGTCTATGACTTACCTCTCTTTCTCTACAGCCCAAGGTTAAAACTGTATTTCCGCAGATGCAGTGCTGGTGCTTGAGCAGGAGCCCTGAACCCTGATGCTGCCTTTGTCAAATCCGTGGTCCGAGGATGGGTGGCCTTGCTGAGCGACTCAGTGCAAAGTTTGTTGGCGCCTAGGCTCTAGCAGCCTAAAGGGCTTTGGATTTCACATTAAGGTATTGCTTATGCAGGTCTATAGGATTCAAAGGCTTGTCGCAAAGAGACAAAATCCAAGACTTAGATCTCAGCCCAGGCGCCTTCCTTCCACTGGCTTCCACGCATTTGGTGGCCACATCTGATAGCATCCTGGCAGGCTTGAGCAAAGCGCCTATGGCGGAATTTTCCGGTAATTCTGCCAGGTGAATCCTACATGTAGAGTATCTCGCCTGTAGTTCGACATCCTCCTTTCTATCATCTGATCAACCTTAAAGGGTTTGTTGCACATCGAAGGCTTTCATATTTCTGGTTCCAGAAGTGGCCGGACATGCGTAGAAAGCAAGGGAGGCTCATCGTAAGCAAAGCTTCTCAGCTAGCAGCCATGGCATGCCAAAATGTCATAGAGATTCCGAGAACGATCCAATGAAGTGTCTCTGGGCTCAAGGTATAAATCATGGCGAGGGCTAATGGATGTTTTATGTGGCCTGACGTGGCCTGCAAACTGAATTCATTATTTGAACAAGCTGGAAGCCTTAAACGGGTCTCCATAGATTGATTCAGGATTCAGGGCCTGAAGGTACCTCTTACGATGTTCAGGCCCAGCTTGCATATACACCGAAGGCTATGAGCGCGACCTCCTACCGCGAAATCGGTCTGCGCTGAAGACGGTCAGCTCGCTCTTTGGCAGGATTGTTGGTGTCTGAGGGTTTGTGGTTACGCTATTCGCCGCTAAACAAACTTTTGCTCCATGCATGCTGCAATCCAAGGGCTGGGTCCGTGGTACTGCGCCGCTGCCTCTGGAAAGTGAACTGTCATAGGTGTTTTCTTTCATATTTGATTTCAGCAGCTCCTGCAGCATCCGGCTGCAAACCATGCGTGGGCGTCTGGACAACTGATTGGAGGAAGAATTGCCAACAAGGAGTGGAAACCCGAATCGATCAAATACAGCTTCATCTCAAACATGGTAGAGGAGCCGCAGATGCGTCAGCGAAACAGCCCACCGCACGCACGGGCATGTTGAATTCAGCAAGCTGTCTTTGAGCACGTGCCGGGATTTCATAAGAGGATGTGGAAGTATCACTGTGTGCATCCTCTCGCCTGCGCTTGCTCATCCAGCAGGCTCTAAGCTGTAAACCTCACTTCTTGATATGCCCTGCATCCGCCCTGTGTATCCCTCAAGCCCTATTTATAAGGCCTTGAAAGATCCAAGGTCTCCAGGTCATTCGTCGTCGGCGTGCTGCCGGCGAGCCGCCAAGGCCGCTGCGCAGCCTTCGCAGCCGCTCCGAAGCGGTGGCCGCAGAAATTGAGACCAGGGGAAGGGTGGACACAGGGTCCACATTTGCACGGTTTAGCAAGAGGTGAGGCTGTGGATGTCGGGTCGCAGACTATGGCCTTTTCCCCGCAACAATCACCCTTTTCCTGATGAACAGCTGTTATTAAGAATTTCCTGAAGGTTTCAGGAAGTGAAAACAGACTACAACCAATTAAGTTGAATCAGGGTCATCAGGGAGAAGTTGAGACTGCGAAGCGCTTAACCCTACTTGAAACCTAAGCCCAAGTTGAGAGAGCATCAAACTCAGCATTCAGAATTTTTTACCTGATTGATTAGCTGCTCAAGAGTTGTAAGGTCCCAGTCGTCTAAGTCCTGGCTCCTGATACTTACGAATTACTTTTTGTATGCTGCTGTTCGGTTTTCCGACAAGCGTCCCTGCTGGCCAGTAAAATTGGCGGCAAGTTTATTGCCCGGGGGGTCTGAAGATGCGTTACTGTGCCAGCTGTGCTGGCCTCAGAAGATGCTTGTAGCCACGGCCCAGGACAGCCCCATGGCACAGCGGCGCGAGGGCCGAGAGGGGCTGAGGTTGGCGTAGCATTTCTTATCAAAGATTTGCGCTTTAGCATGCCGTGGGGTAGATGGGGAGCTTCAACTTCAAGGTTTAGTTCTTTTGGGCAAGGCTTTCGCGGCAGACAGCTGTTCTACACCTGTGCGGGATCTGCAATGATTATGTGTGGTGTTTCATCCAGTGCTAACTCTCCGTTTTTGTGCTCCCCTCTTGAGGCCGAAGCTTGGAACTTGAGACTGCTTTTCTGGCCCCTGGACCCTTCAGAGGTATTGCCCCGAACCACATGCACTGGAGTCCTAGAAGCAACCCTGGAATGCCAAAAGTTTGCAAGTTTAACCTCAGGCTGGAAGCTCAAAGGCTTTTTTGCTTTGAAGCAGAGGCGCCGCGGCCGCTCTGCAGCGCGCCTGCGTGCAGCTGCAGAGCCAAGCCCACAGCGAGGCTTTCGATTCTTCCATTCGTCAAGAACTTCTGCGCTAAATCTCTCGATGCAGGTTGGCTGCAGGTCATTCATGACCCTTGTAGGGTGCATGATATGAGCTGGCACGGTCTTGTATTGGCCTTGCTTGCTGAGTCTTGAAGGGTTGCATGAAAGACAAGAAGGTGTTTTCGGCATCGGAAATCCAGAAAGCTGCAGATCAAGGGGAGGCAATTCGGGATTCATGATGGATCGGTCAGGAACGATCAGCCATTGGATCTGAACGGTTGCAGGTCTTTGGATGCACGGATACGGTACGTACGGAACCTGCAGACTGGAAGCCGCTATGTTTCAAGATTCTTCTGATTCTGTTGGTATTCTTGGGAATCTCTTTATTGCAGGTCTGACGAGAGGCTTCAGGACTTCAGCACCAAATTCAGGTCAGCTAGGCCTGCAGGTCCACTCTCGGTTGTTCTTGCCAGCACCTCACATGAGGCATAAACAAGGCACGCCCCTCAATCACGCTTTCTCTAGACTAGGCCTTAATTCGACAGGGTTCTACTCCAAGCAATGACGAGCTCAGATCTCAGAGCTGAAGTCCGAAGCCCCGGAAGCTCCAGGCCCAATGACTGGATGATCTGAGATTTCTGAGCTGCGCGGAGCCTCTGCGGCGACTTAGAACTTTGATGCTTGATCCTTCAAGCACAATGGAGCATAATGGAGCCTTTTGGGAGCTCCTGGCTCTCCGCCCTTATTTGTAAATGCTCCACTGAAATTGGTGTCCAAAGTGGCACCAGCAATGGCTGATAAAAAAATTGTCTGATAAGGGGCTCAGACTGAGTCACCTCTCAGCAATTGTCTTGCCCCTAGTATAGACCAGGCATCTTGGGCGCACACTTTGTTTTCCTTCGAGCACGTGACACGAACTCATGTCGGGATCCCCGGGAACCCCATTTTACCCCAGTAGACTCTCCCTGTTTCCATTTTCTTTTCCATTATACCAATATTACCCAAATATATGACATTCAGCAGCTTGCAGCCCGGTTAGCAGGCAGAGGTGCTAAATATCTCTGTTTGAAGATGGCTGAGACATGCCTTGTGGAGCCAGTGTTCAGTGTGCGGCATCAACACTAAGTGCTCTTCGCGGATCGCTTGTTGGGGAAGACCGTGGGCTCCCCAAGCGTATGTGTTCAAAGTTCAAAGTACCTTATTTCATGAATTACGAGGCAGCTGTGCCCGTGTCGAATGTTCCTAGACAACCGGTATGACTGGCCTCTTAGGCCCTAACCTCCGACCATCATCCGCAAAACCGCGAATTCTCACGTCCAAGTAAATGCTGGTGCTGCTAGTCTGCAGTCGAAATCCTGAAGCAACTTAGGTCCTGCAAGTTAAGCCTGACTTCTTTCCTAGCCCCGGCAACACCTCAAGCAAACATGGCCAGATTTCCGCCGAGCCACCTGCGCCCAGCCCTGCACCAAGGAGCTGGGCCGAGATTTTTCTGCAATACATTCATGCACTAAGCTTGGTTATCAGTGAGCATGTCAAAAGCGACAGCAACCCACAGGCAGAAAGGTTTCCAGATTGCAGCTGGCTCGCCGAGAGCAAGTCTGTTTTCTATCAGGATCACCAGTGGGGAGTGTCGCTGTTCCTGTATGACATGAGCATTTCTTCCTCTGGGGAAAGAGACATACGCGAGATCCTACTATTGGACTTGGACTTGGGCTTGGGAATTGGGGCCAAAAAAGCAAGTCTTCAGGACACCTTGAACAGGGATAGAGCGACGGGATACGGATTTCCTTGTGGCAGGCTCTTTTGCGCCATGATGCCGCGCAGCTGCATTTGTGCGTGGATGCTAGATGCTGGCAGTCAGGACATCAAAGTAGGCATGTATGGTTCAGGGATTGGGAGTTGAGCATGCGCCACCGAAGCAGACCATGCCTAGCTGCAGGGAAGCCTTGCCGCTTCATACCTTGGCAGCCTCGCATATTGAGAGCCCTGAATTGTGGTTGTGGCTGGGAGCGTGCAACCTACAAGATGTCCGAGCTTAGGCACATCGAGAGATCTTACCAGGCGCAACTGACCGAGAGCGCTTGAGGAGCTTTACATACATTGCGCGGGCCTCTCCCTAAACTCTCTTTCAAAGACCCTGCTTGAAGCATGTCTATTTAGAGTCTATTTGTTACCAAGCCTGGTTCCGGTTCGTGCCCGACAGATCCCGACGTTGAGGGCTGCTTTTTTGTCAAGTCGATTGAACTGGCCAGGATGGAATGTTGGAAGCGGTAAGGGCGCTGATGGTTCCAAGCATGTGTGAAAGTTTTCATATTGTGATGGACAGCGACAACAGCTGCCAGATGAGACCACTTCAAACAAACAACAGAGGGCGCATGGTGGGTGGCTCTTCAGAGCCGCCTTCTAGAGTCAACGGTTGGCTTTTTACAGAGCGCCATGGCGGAACAAGATGCGCTCATCGACTCGAAGGCTCCAGCTGAGAGTCTTGGACGAGAAGAAGTCGAGTTTGAAGGGGGATGTTGTGCAGCTTGTGGTTAGGAGCTGTCCAGATGTCTGCATCTGACATAGCATACTGAGCATCAACAGGGATGTGTAGCAAGTCGGGCGTCAGCGGGATACGGTAAAATGGGCGAGCACCGACTCGATCACCAACTCAGCGGCTTTGATCGACTGCCGTGTGCTGCAGTGCTGTTTAGCTGCAATGCTACTAGCATGAAAAGGCTTCAGAACTCTTCTCAAAGCAAACTGTTTTCTCGCTCTTGACATCTCAAGCTACAAGCATCTGACTGAGATGGCAGACTTAGCAAGCTCGGTAAAGAAGGGGCCGGAAAGTGTACACATAGAGTCTTAGTTTTGTTGTAACGCAGTCTTCGGCATGACCAGGCTTTGGATGGACAAGGAACTGTTGTTGGCTGTCGTAGAGGGTCTCACGGGTAGCTGATGGAAGCTTTCTTGGCAATCAAATGCGAGCATACAGTCCATGCAGGTTGATGAGTTTGCTGCTGTTTGGTCCTTGAATTGTAGTATGCACAGCTGGCATTGTGGGCACCCTCCTTGCTCTTCGAAAGCTAGCGACCTGGCTGGTATCTTCCTCTACATTCATGTCCATGTCAAATCTTGAGCGCCTTCTTCAAGGAGCTCGTGCTGTAGCTGTTGCAATCCACCCAGGACAGGGTGCAAACTGGGCATGTTCAGGGTTGAGATGAAAGTCTAGCATGCCCAGTAGTATTCTACGCCTAGCAGCCTCACTCAGCGCGTCGTTGAACAAACATGGCGCTCCGCATGAAAGGCATCGGTTGGGGCTCTGCATTTGCAGGATTTGGTGCTTCATTGAAGATTGCATGTAGTAGCTGAGCCGTAGGTTGTCAGCAGGTGCAGCTTGTCAATGCCGTCGTCATTCAGACTGCAGTCGGGCTTGGTGGTACTCCACCCTAGCTCTCCGGTTCAAGTTGAAGATACCAAGCAAGACGCCCTGAAAGGCGAAGGGAAGGAACTGGCCATATAGCACTTGCTTGAAGCTTCAGGCGCAAGAGCCAGAAATACTTGAGGTCACATCCAGTTCAAGCCAGCTGTTTCAGGAACATCTCGGATGAGTTCATTGACAAGCACCTGAAGGGCAACCCCATGCTGCTCGCTGAAGTTGAGGGCTTGGGAGTTTTTGTTCTGATGGATACTGGGCTGGCTCTCTAGGCCGGTCACGATGCAGTGAGAACACATGAGGAACTCGATGTTGTTTTCGAGTGCGGCTAGCTTGTTGTTGCTAGGAAGTTCCTTGCAAATAGGACACGCATGAGCTTTTGCTCACTACCGCCTCTGGCTCTCACCAGTACAGGTTCTGATGTTGGATGATAGTTTGTAACCTGACAGTGGCTATCGCTGGTACACGCTTTCACGCGTTCTTTCGCAGGTTCGGATGGTGGAGACTGCCGAAGATTCAGCCACGGAAGCTCCTGCATGAGTTGAGGCCGGCTTGGCATGTTGAGAGCCTTAGTTTTGCAGGAGCGAAAGTGAAGCTAATGTCCAAAGTGGGGCGGTGGTGAATTCTTACACTTGCAGAAAGCCTGCGGAACACAAGCTACACATCAGGAAAACATGCTGCTAAAATGGCTATACCATCTTGGCTCAAATGATTGGACATCTAGGGTCCACAAAATTTGAAGAGCCTCTCCTTCTCATCTGTACTCCTGATATCATGGCTGCCCTTCTTCCAGCTCCACCACAGCCGTAGCTGCCGCTGCTGCTGTAGAGTCAGGCCATTGCTTCAAGTGTCGAGACCTCGGAGATGGTCGAGTCCGTGATTGTGGCGGATGAAAGTGACAATCAGTGGCTCCATATCGCCAAGGAGGCCCACGAAGGCAGGAAAACCTTGGTGGAGAATACGGCAAACGCCTGACGCCTTTGAGAAGCCTGACAGATTCTGACACTGGAGCCCGTTGCAGAAAAGTTGGCAGGCATGACGTTGGTCATGGGGCCAGCCTTCGGCTGTGGAACCTTCAGGTGTTGTTGGATGACGCCATATGGATGCCGGTGAGGCCCAGCCGAAGCGTTTCGCCCCCTTGTCCGAAGCGCAGCCGGTGACTTTCTGTTGTGTTGCGGAGCTTGCAAAGGTAATAGCCACCATCGAGGCCAACGGCCTCACAGGCTGGCGGAACCAGCGTGGAGGCGCCCCAGTCGAGGTTTGTTCGGCTGACTAAGTGCATTCAGTTCTATTCAGCTCCAGCATGTTGGCCGCCCAGCAAGGTGATGAGGTGGCCTGTACGGAGCAAGCCTGAGGATGAGCCCCCTTTACGTTTATGATTATGTGGTTGGGCGGGAGCAGAAGATCTGCCACTTGCAGTTGGCCAAGGCTGCCCGCATCCGTGCAATAACCTATGAGGTCGAGACCGGGGCGCGACCATGCTGATGGAAAGGGATTGAGTCGTGCTTGTCCTTGAGCTGTACGTGATTTGCAGGGTGCAGACTGTGTAGCCCGCTGATGTTGCGTCAGTTGGACCTTGAGCAGTTTAAGTAGTTGTTTTGACGTGTGGGCCACAAGGATGCAAGGGCCGATGCCGATACGGACTTAAAAATGGCGCGCTGTCATACGCAGCGTGAGGAGGATGGCAGTTCCAGGGCAAAACTCTTGCAACCGGTCTCGGACGGCGTGGACATTGGACCTGCGCAACTTTGCAAGGCAATCGAGAACAACCTCGTAAGCCTGGCACCGTGGCCCTCAAGATGTTGCAGATGCAGGGCCGCAGCTTTATCCACGGGGAGAAGAGGCTCATCGGCCGTCGCTGGCAGCAGTAAAAAAGCAAGATGGCCCATGAAAAATATGACCGAGTTCATGTTGTTGGACCTGCATATTCGCAGAACCACCCACACGAAGAGCCACCCTCCGGGCGCAGATGGTGAGCGGCATTTTCCCAAACATCCGCAAGGCCTTCCTTGCTTGCTGAGGACGATGGCATTTTCCACTGTGGTGGAAGGCGAGGCAGACGTGGGTCCTGACGGTGATTTTTATTACCGACAGGGTATCTACCGATCATGGATGATCATGGTTGACCGTGCTGCAGCAGCTTGGTGGCAAACAACTGCTTGCGCAAAGAATTGTACCTCAAGCTCAAGCTACTCCCAAGCTCAAGCTACTCCCAGCAGGAGATCGATTTCTTTTACGGAGAAGTCCATGGCTGAAATTCTCGCTACGGGGTTGCCAGACACCTTTGGAGAGCGGATGGCAAAGATGGAGTGTGGCATCCTCAGTTTCCTCAACCCCTGGTAGCTCGTGGACAAGAATCATGGCGCGACGTTGGTTGTTCTGTAAGCCAGCGCAGTCTCCAAGTCATCCTGGCCAAGACGATCTGCGATTCTACAGAAGGTGGAGCCCCCGCCAGCTGCCTTGCAAAGTTCAGCGCAACGGGTTTTTCTTTCCTCAATTCCAAAAAGTGGCCCCAACAAGTTCCTCAGGCTCTTTCGGACTTTTCTATTGCAGTGCTTGCTTGTTTTATGCTCCGCAGCCGCTTCGCGCAAACTCTCTTTCACCATGTATGTTATTCAGGTGACAAACTTGATGGCCCCATGGCTTTGGGAGGAAGCCACTGAGATTCCGTTTGTTTTTGCCAAGGCTGTTGTAAAAACACTGTCACGGCCTCACATAAGCCGTCGTGCGCCGTCCGTAAGTGGTGGTTGGCGACCGGGCCACGTTTCTCAGGTTCACACCAGCAATCGAGAACTTGAGTGTGCCCTTCGCTTTCACCCAGGCGCACGTGCGCATAAAAATCCTGCCAGGCAGTTGAAACACGACGTGGCGCAATTGAATTACCATGCGCATACGCCTGGTGCCGAGCCTTAGAGTTCAGCCCAATCACAAACAGGCATGAGGCATAAACAGAGCCCTCTCTTTGCCCCAGATGGTCAGAGATGCCAGCGTCCGCCGGCGGCAGATTGACAGAACCCAGGCTGCTCAAAAGTTTGTGGTGCCGCTGTTGCAAGCTCCTCCCAAAGTCATGCCCCCCCATCTTCGCCAAGTTCCTGTCCAAGAAACTTTTGAAGGGAAACGCCTTATCAACTCCAAGGAGAAAATTCCACATCGCTGTGATTGCTGTTGCTTCTGCAAGTTGCCTGCCTGCAGATGGCGCTTTCGCGTGTGAAGGGGGACTTCAGCACGTGAGCTGATGAACAGACACGCCCTTTCTTCAAGATTTCAATCTTGACCCGAAACTTGCAGTGAAATCGGTTTTTCGGATTTCCTTTAATGAGGATGGCCCTTTTCATTCCGGGCATGTCCGTATAATTTTGTCTTATGTTCCCATGCTCCCTCCACCCGTGGGCCAGGGTGGCTGGTGGACTGGTGGTGGATCATTTTCGCTCTGAAGCACTGCTGATGGCGTCTTTTGGGTATACACGCTCCAGCTCGCTCTTAGTCACTTTACCAGTACGGCTGGACCCAGCCACGGGAAGCCACTGGGTGGCCGGAGAGACGTATTCAGAGCATGGAACCAGAAGGCAATATTTGTCTGCCATTTCCACGTTGTTTTCTGACGTAAAGTACCCCCACAGGAGCAAGCAGGGGCTAACCCCACACCTCATGCCCTATACTCCCCCCTACGCTTTCAACCTATTTCTCAAACCGCCTAACACTTCA